AATCTGTTATAAGGCCTCCATTTGAAAATAGCGGATTTGATACTAGAATATAATAGCAACATGTAATCTGAAGATAACATTAAGTGACCAAGTAATATTGGGGTAAAAGTTACTGAATGGTGTTGGGATAAAGTGAGAAAATTGTGCAGGATTAAAATATTCTAAGAGCTCAAATTACTTCATCAAAACATGTTTAAGTCACATTGTATCAACACAAATTGCACAGGTTTATTGAACATGAATAAAGTGTGTTAATTTAACTCAATTGTTTAAGTTGCTGCCAAAGCAAAACATCTGCGTGCAATCAATGTCCACTACTGAATCAAATTAATCCAACATATTTTTTTCAGTGTGCTGCGTCTCCACCAATAACCAGCAAAAGACACTGTCTGAAGCTGCATAGTACTGGGGGGCATCTGGGCTTATGGCATTGGCAGCTTGCACATTTGGAAAGGCACCATCAGTGTTGAAAGGTATACATGATGATGTAATAAAAGCTGAGAGTTTTTAGCCAAATACAGAAACTGTTAAGATATTCAAAAATGTGCTGTTGGTTTGTTAAAAATAAGATAAAAATAAGGAAAAGAAACATTTTAACTGTGGAAATGAGCACTGCTCACACTCACCCCATACACCAGCTCTCCCACCATGCCATTCCACATCTTTGTTTCAGCGTCTCTGGCACCGTACTTGCCGTCACCTACTAGCTCAAGGCGGTACGTGAACCCGACGTGTTTGGCGATCTCTGCGGCAAGCTCGGCACAGTATCCTTCATATTTATCGTTTCCCCAAAACTGCTCGTGGTTCTTCTTTAGCATCATGTAGGGAGCTTCCTGTGAGGAGGCAGAAGTGTGAATGTCACTGCCGCTCTACTCGAGTATGTTTAACTTAGATTATTTTACATTGTGCTTCTCTAGTAAAAAGTGCCTCTTCTTTTCTGAGGAAAATGAAAAAAACCCACAGCTGATAAGATGATATAAAGTCTGTGCAAACATCTTTACAGAGTGATGTTAAAGTTGAGTGTATGCTGACTGCAGTCAAGCAGCCAGAGCCTGAAGTTCAACAGGTAACAGGAGCAGTCAGAGATTTGTAACTGTGTGTGAGAACGTTGCCTAATTTGCACAAAATACTTTACTTCTTCCAAACATAACAAGTAATATATTACTGCACTGTGTGAAATATTTGAACTAATCATCTTGCCTTCCCAAACTTACCAGGATGGTAGTGACGATGTAGGTTTTGTTCTGCACATTGTAAAACTCCTCCTGCATCGGCCTGTAGATGGCAGTGTTCACATAGCCTCTCTTCTCATTCCAGAATCCGATCTGGACACAAAACAGCACCGTTGGACCACAACTCTGTACTTATGTCATCATTACTGAGCCTCCTGCTTACCTTCCTGCTTATTTAACGTATTTGCTATGCTGATTTTGTGATTAATAAAATGTTTTTCATTTACATGTTTATTATGACACTTCAATACACTGTGGCCCACTTCACCTGAGAAAGTTTAGTAAAGTGGGACAGCAGATGGTAGCATTAGTGTGATATCACCTTCATGTGTAAAACAGCAGCACGGATCGTTTCTTCTTTATTAAATAATATTCTTTTAACTAATTATGAATGCTATTTATTTATTTTATTTAATTAAATAAGCTTTTAATTAATTTAAATAAAAAATCTCTTTCATTGTCACTGCTGTGTTAACTGTACTTTGCAGCAGTAACGATAAATATGAAACATGAGCTAAAAGAACAGAGGGTTGAAATCTAAAAGAAATCCCAGGGAGAATTTTGTGTGTATGAGTTGGGAAAACAGACATTTGCATTTTTGCGTTTCCTTCCTCAACAAAAAATATGAGTCACATCTCTGAACTCACTTTTACATTTCATATCTGCATTTTGCTCAAGTTTTACGGGCCTTTTGAGTCATTTTGTTTAATTATAATTTTGTTATATTATGACTATATTTATTTCTTTGCATCGCTTGTGTTGGTTTGTATCAGGTTTGAGTACTGTTTTTTGTAATTTTGCATCCATTTGCTGTTGTTTTGTGCAATTTGGTGTCTTTTGGGTGTTGTACACTATAAAGTTCCAGGAGCCTCCGGCAATTATTGGAAACATTTATGCATTGGTTTCTTCCATAGCGCCCATCAAACTTTAAAATATCCCACTCTGATGTCTTGTAAACTACAAAGTAAGCAGGACTAAGCAGCTCATCACAATGATAAGTCGTTGTGTGATGCACTGTTTGACGGAATTTAATAGAAAACTGGGAGTCGGCAGATTTCCGCAGCAAACAAACGCAGCAGAGGCTGATTTCACTGATTATCGCAGCTTTAATCTGAGGAGAGGGAGCTAATTACTGGAAGGAGCTGATGCAGTGAAAACCTGCTGAGTGCAATTCCACACAAAACCCGCCTGAACTGAACAAAACAACAAGCGGCGGGAGCAGCACCTTCCTGGGTCCAATGTGGCTGAGCTCCATCACAGTCAAAGTGTAGTTGGTTCGATGTCCGCGCTCATCGAACTGGACGTGACCCGTCAGCCCCTCCAGACGAACCTGTCAACACAAAGAAAAGCAAAGCAAAAATGAAAAACTGCAGGATTTCATAACCAGAAGAGCTCGGCAGCACTGATGGAGAGAGCCCGTTATTTCTGCTTTTAACACTTACATTGATTTTAAATTCCTCTGTGTTTAAAGAACTTCACGCTCCGTTTGTCTGACATGTTTTTCGATCTACAGACTAGGACATTTCTGGGACATTTCAGGACAAAACTTTCATTTTTCATTTCCTCTGAGCTGCTGGAGCAGCCTGAGGATCTGAGAACAGCTCGGAGTTAATATTTACTTTCTCAGAGGACCTAAAAATATTGGTGTTTTTAAAGAGGGAGTATTCTCCTCATTCCAACCTCCATATTTCTATACGTGATTTACAGTTCAAAATAATCCTTATTTATCTCCCTTTAAGCTAACTTTTCTGATTGGCTGTTTTTCACAAACACAAGCTTTGAACAGCAGGTGGGAGGGGCTTCTGTGGCAGCTGCTCCCTCTGGACCCACTCTCAGTTCTGCCTGTGTGCTGTTTATGCATACCTGCTGCAGGGCTCTCTGGATATCGATGCCCTGTCCCCACGGAGCGGGCGGGTTGGCCAGGCACTCCCCTGCGTTGCCCCGGCGAGAGATGTCGATCCGTTGCCTCCGCAGATTCTGGAATGCCGTTGCCATGACGCTGACACCATCATAGGTCAGAGCTCCTGTGTACTGAGTGGTCAGGCAGGAGGAAAGTGGTTAAAATCCTGATCCTGTTCACAGTCTTATTGGTGACACAATGAGACAAGATTTTGCTTTACATACACAGAAATGTCTTTTTTTTTTTGTACTTTCCTTAAATAGATTCAAAATAGAAGTAGAATAGAAGAAACAAGTGGGAATAAAAGCAATGGGGCAGATGGAAAAGTATCTGTGAATGATAGTTTGTATTTGTGTCACTGCTGCTTTAGCCTGAACAACGCCTGTTAATTCCTTTTGCTTCAGGAGAGTGACGATCTTGAAGTGCAGCTACAAATGACCATTTATCTGTCCCCTGGGAAGCAGGGAAAGCTGTGATGAGAGCTAAAATAATTTCTTTCTCATCACTTAAGAAGAAAGAAGAAAACAAAAATGTTCAGGAATTAGAAAAAAACATCAAATCCTTAGAAAAAGCCTATGTGTCCCACCAAGATCAAGAAATTTTGAACAAAATACGCAAAACAAAACCAGAATGAAATGAAATTATTAATAAAAAGACTCAATTGTTAGTACAAAGACTTTGGTTCCAAAATTTTGAACACGGTAACAAATCCGGACAATTTCTAGCTAACCAGTTAAAAATCAATAAAGAAAAAACAACTATATGAGCTGTTAAAGATTTATCTGGGAATACAATATATGACGTTAAAAAAATTAAACAAAAATTTTAGGGATTTCTATGAAACTTTAAATACACCACAAATAACCCCATCTACAAACGAAATTGATCAATTTCTCGACAACGTAACTCTTCCAAAATTATTAGATACCCAAGCAATGGCACTGGATTCGCCGCTGACGCCAGGTGAACTCCAGGAAGCCCTGATAAGTATGCCCAATATAAGGCTCCAAGTCCAGACGGCTTTCCTGCAGAATTTTACAAAGAATTCTGGACGATTCTGGCACCAGTTTTTCACAGAATGTTGGAGGAAATCAAAGAAATTGGCAGACTACCACCAAATATGAACTCTGCAAATATTAGTCTCTTAGTAAAACCAGGCAAAGACCCTGTATTTCCTTTAAGCTATCGTCCAATATCCCTTATAAATGTAGACCTTAAAATAATCTGCAAAGCTCTATCAAAGAAATTAGAGAAAATAACCCCCCCTCTTAATTCATCCTGACCAAACTGGTTTCATAAAAGGTCGGCACTCCTCAACAAACACATGTAGATTACTTAATTTAATAGACTACTCATACAGTAAAAACATCGAAACCATAATATTATCTCTAGATGCAGAAAAAGCATTTGACAGAGTTAACTGGAAATTTCTATTTGTAACTTTACACAAATTTGGTTTTGGAAACTCTTTCATAAGCTCGTTAAAAATATGATATAATTCCCCAACAGCTCGTGTTAGAACAAATGACCAGACATCCTCCAGCTTCTGTCTCCTGAGGGGCACCAGGCAGGGATGCCCACTCTCCCCTTCACTGTTTGCAATTTTTATTGAGCCACTAGCAGCAGCAATTAGAAAGGCTACAACAAGTACGGGCATAAAATGTAAGAATGTAGAACATAAAATCAGTCTCTATGCTGATGATGTGTTACTTTTTCTCCAAAACTCACAAACCAATCTCTCTGGGGTAACTGCATTGATAAACTCGTTCTCAAGAGTCTCAGATTACTCAATTAACTGGTCAAAATCTACAGTTCTTCTGAGTATTTGCTCCTTCTATAATTCTTCATCTAACCGACTGCAATCTGGAAATATTAAATATTTAGGTATCAATATCTCTCCTAAGCTTGCAGAATTAACTAAATTAAACCACATCCCACTTTTAAAGACAGTAGAAGGCGATCTAGCTAGATGGAAATCTCTACCCATGTCACTCATGGGAAGGGTCGCCGCTATAAAAATGATGGTCTTGCCAAAAATAAATGATTTACAGCCCTATGCATTGCCAAAAAAACAGTCCTCATTAACTGGAAAAATAAAAATAATCTTAATTCTAGCCAATATAAAAACCCTCTGATAGATCACATTAGTCCTGAGACAGCCTCTGCCATCACATTTGATCAATCCCTCTGGGCTCCTTTGATCGGCTTCATCACCTAGTGGGGGTGGGGGGTGGGGGGGGGCATAGTTTGGTCCTGCCTTCTCTAGTGTGGTTGATATGGGGGTAGGGAAGGCCTTAGGGCATCTGGGGATTCTCTAGGGACGTTTTCCCAGGAGGGCCTAACGCGGGGGTTGTGGCCATGACCTGGTTAGGGGCTCTGGTGGCGAGAGGGTCTGTGCTGGCGGACGTTGGTTACTGGCCTGGTAGCCTGGCTGCCCCAGGGTGGGTCCGGGATGGGCGTGGAGGCTTGAGGGTTTGGGGGTGCTCCGCCCCCGGGCTGGGGCTCTGGCTGGGCCTTGGGTCCTGGTTGTTGTGTCGCCAGGGTGGTGGGCGGGGGGGTGCATGGGGGCTCAGCCCCAGTGCGGGGACCTCTGGTGCATCTGCCCAACTGGAGGGCTCTCTAACTGGTGGGGAGGCTGTTACATCTTTGCAGGAGGTCTCCTCTCTACGGGAGCTCACTCTGCAGGTGGGGCAGAGATATTGGAGAGGTGGAGAATGACTCAACCTGAGTGTCTATTGTCTTGTGTAGTCTGGGAGAAGATTGGATGATGGGGTGGGTGCAGTTTTCTCTCTGGTGGGGTCGGGTGGGCTGCCCCGGACTCTGTGGGGCCGGGTGGTGCTGCTGCTGTGGGCCCCGGTCCGGATGGGCCTGGGCCCCCTTGCCCTGGTGGGTTCCAGAGTGTGGGGGTGCCTACTGGGGTCAGTGGGAGAGCTGGCCCCAGAGAGGGGCCGCTTGCCCCTCCTTTTCTTCCCTCCCCATCCTCAGCTGCCTCACTCTGCCTCACTCTTCCCGCTCCACCACACCCACACACAGGCAGGGCTTGGGGTGCGCGTGTGGTTCACCAGGGTGCAGGGGAGGTACTCCCCTTCTGTCCCCTTCTGGCTGCCTGTGCCTCAATTTAATTCCGCAACCTAGACACCTAGACATTACTCATATTCTCATAACACATACATATAGGGCTTTGAGGGTGGGCACGTTATACAGTGTCCAGAGGATGGTCTTTGTATTCAAACCCACCTTTGGCGCTGGTGCCCTACCCTCAATTTTAAATGCATATAGACATTAAGGGTTTTCGGGAGGAGCCGTGCTGCTCTCTGGCTGGAAGCACCATGCCCTCCTGTGTTTTAAATGCACTTTAGAACAGCACGCAGCAACACTACATATGAGCGGGCGGAGGGAGGTATGGGGTCTTCACTCACCCCCGTTTTGTTAGCCGTCGGGGCTGGGGGGCTGGGTGGAGGTGCTCTGGGAGCAGGGGTACCCAGACCTGGGATTTAGAGTATGTTTGGGGAGTGTGAATGTGTGTACAGTGTCTATTTGTGTCTGTCTCCACATCGGGTGAGTGCAAAGTATGTGTTTGTGTATATGGGGGTGGGAATACACGTTTATGTCCGCGTGCACCTGTTTGTCTGTGTCTATATGTCAGCTTGGGTCTTAGACTCCACCTCGCTGGGAACATCTCAGGCTCTCCAAAGTACGGAGGTCTATCTCCCCTCACCACACTCCCCCTGCCAGTGGCTGATGCCCTCAGACGTTGGTGTGTTGGTGGTTCTTGGTGTCTGGGGCTGGGCACTCATGTATGTACTGACTCACTCCTGGTGGCCGATTGGCGGGACCTGGCGCCTGTGGCCCGGCAAGGCCCCTTCCGGGGGGTGGGGTGCCCTCAGGCCTCTGGGCCTGCTGGCTGCCAGCACAGCCCGCGGGCACGTCACTGCAACCCCCTCTGGCCTCTGCTCTGTGGCTGCTGGTTGACCTTTCGTTTGAGGCTCTCCTCAGCTCTTCCCAGGAGGGTGGCACAGTTGCCCCACTGGTGGTCCTCCTTGGGTCCTCGTACTCTGGGGCCTCTGGATGTCTGGGGCCTGGATCTCCTCCATACCTGCTTCATGCCTTGGGGGACGGGGCTATGACTCCCCAGACCCCCTAGCAGATCGTTACATGGAGAAACCTTTGGAATACAAGCATGCTGATCCACACAGGTGTGCACAGACACAAACTACACCTTTCTTGGCTGCTACCTCAAAGCACATTGTGCGCTGTCGATCTTGTGTGCTGCACAATAACATGTAATATTCAGTATCTACTGTTAGCTAGTTTATTGTGATGGTGTTGTATTTATTATGTTGCTCTTTTTTGTTTGTTTTCTCTTCTGTTTTTTCTTATCTCCATACAGGTGATCCAGGTGTTTTTTCTTTCTTCCCCCCTTTCTCACCGTCTCTTCTCTCCTCCTCTATTTTTCTTTCTCTCCCTCTCTTTCTTTCATTCTTTCTCCCTGTCCTATCCCCCAGTCATGTCTGTCCCGTCTATAACAACAGAGAATCAAATAAAAGAAATACTTAAAATAAAGTATTTAATAAAAATAATGGACCAATATGGCCATGATGATCCAATCGGTAAAGTAAATCCACTTGACATCTTTCTTGACCTTCAGACAACAATTCTGATGGCTAAAGATCCAAACGGGACAGGCAAAAAAACAAAACAAAAAAAAACAAACCCAAATGACCATTTATATCACACCTGTAAAAAAATGTCAGAACAACAATGTCAGGATCATTTATACTGGGAGGATACAATTCAGATTTCCTCACAAAGAAAAAGTATGAAAACACTGTGTGTGTGTGTGTGTGTGTGTGTGTGTGTGTGTGTGTGTGTGTGTGTGTGTGTGTGTGTGTGGTGTGTGTGTGTGTGTGTGTGTGTGTGTTGTGTTGTGTGGGACTTGGTTGCGAGCATTTGAGGATCAGTTTGTTGTCGAAGTCCAGCCAGTTCTGATTGATCTTCTGCACAGCGGGATCCGACCGATTCACCAGTTGGAAGCCGGTCACGTTTGGTCCGAGCTTCTGAAATTCTGTGACGTTCAGGTCCAAGAAGCCCTAACACACACACACACACACACACCAACACCACACATACACACAGACACACACACACACACACACACACACACACACACACACAAAGGAAAGCAACAGGTTTCACTGCCTGAACTTTCACTGCATCCCATAAAACCCTGTCTTCGGTATAAATAAACAATGACATGCACACTTTGGTGATGAAAAATGACATCATTGTCTGGAAGTTATTTGCACTACTCTGTGTTTCGAGTTTAGTTTAGTGTTAAAAGAAAGCCTGCATATTTCCAAATGTACTTGGAAATTTCTAGCTCTTTAAACTTATGAACTGAAATGCTGCAGTTTATTTGGAAACAGCTCCACATGCAGACAACAGCGAGCGCTTTCACGTCTCTGGAAAGTTTGTGCAAACTGTTAAAGTCATCTGCATACGCCCTTAACCTCAGCCCTGTGTGTGGGGAAGCTGAGCCTGAACTCACCAGATTGGCAAGGATGTAGTGGTAGTTCTTCAAGTTCCTCTTCTGAGCAGCAATCTGAGCAGGAGCGAGAGGCACAGTAAATGATATGCTAATTACATTTTCCCGATGTTTCTAATGATGATAAAAAGCACCAATCACACATTCATCACAATCATCGCCATGTGTGTGTGTGTCCTCTCAAACAGCTGCTAATTGGAAGACTCGGCTGCTCTTTGAGGAATTAATTGCCCATCTTTGCCATCAGGAGGAGCTGGAAAGAAAGCAAGAAGCTCTCCTCAGATTCACGACTCCACTGACAGACGACAGGAAGGAAGGAAGATGGAGAGAAAGGAGAAAGTTTATGAAGAGGAGGAGCAGGTGTTGTTTGACGCCTTCCTCTCAGGTCCGGCTTTTAATGAGCGGCAGTCGAAGAGCGTTCGCGAACAGCTGCTCTGCATCACTGGGCACTTCTGGAGGAGGAAGGGAGGAGAACACTGCTGAAGCGTCCCTCCTCTTAAACCTCCTCCTCTCCTTTTGCTTCCAGCCAACACTTCACCCCTCTGGTTTCTTTTGGTGTTCATTCACAGCAAACACATTCAGCTGATAATAATTTTCATATTGTGATCAAACACTTAACAGTTGTTATAATAAATGTGTACAAAACAGTGAAAGATGCACGTTGCAGTTTTACTCAGTCAAAGAATTGAATATCGAACAGCAACAGCAACACTGTCACCAAAACCTGCAGTTCATCCGATGGCCACAGTCCCCATAGTCTCACCTGTTTAAACTCTTGTACTAGAGTCCCTGACCTGGACCTGTGGACCATATCTGGAGCTTTTGTAATACAATTATCTGCTGTATAGTTAGTGGCACTAACACACCAGGTTTATCCTTGCTTTGCTTGGAACTTTGCTCTGATTAGCAGAAACATGCATCTGTTAACTGAGCAGGAGCTAACTTAGCCTTCTGTGTGAGCTGCTTTAGTTTAAATGATACGAGTGTTCAGAAAAATCCATCACTAGATGAGGAGAAAGGAGAAGAAAATATGACATTTTCCTGAGTTAGTAGGAGTGAAAAGTGCTTTTCTGCCTGTTTAGATTTATGGCCTCAGCTCAGAGTTTTTCTCGGTTGTAAAGAAGGTTAGTGTTGACTGCTCAGCTTTGTACTGGGAACACAACACATTACCACACCTGACCTGGACGCACATTAGTGAACACCTTCATATCTTCTTAGTATGAAGTTGAGATGATTTTTAACTGGTTTTTACTCAGGTATAACGATATAACATACAGGCTGTCTGGACTTAAAAAATTATTTTTCAGGAGTAACTTGTTTGTTCTCTCATGTCCAAAATGGTTTTTGAATTATGTTATTGTAAAGTTCACATAATGTGACCCTGTCTGTGTGCAGACAGCAGTACACTCTGCATGTTTTGTGCGACTGTGATACCAAAGATCTCCCTAAAGCTCGAGCACGAGTTACGGTCATTTACAGGGTGCTGGTGCAGTGGGCCCACAGCTGGAGCACAAGCTTGTGAAAGCTGTCAGTGTTTTGTTGTTGTTGTTATTTTTATCACCTTGTCATCTATTGATTTATCAGTCCTAGTCGGACCGTTATGATCTCCTGACTTTTGCCACGTCGTGGAGCTGAAAGAAAATGGATTTTCTTTATCTGGATGTTGAGTTTTCAGTCGTTGTTGTGTGACACATCAGTATCAGCTGCAGTCACCTCAGTGACCAATGAAACGTTTCTCCCACTGAAAACTCTGCGTCCACATGATTAGAATCAACTTCCTGTAAAAGTCAGTCTTCCATCTGAAGTCACCGACATCATCCACTGGAAACTTTCACCCCATCCAGCTGGACTAAATGAACCAATTTGAGCCAAAGCAAGCGCCACCTGATCATTTCAGCCAAACTAAACGGTGATGCTGAAGCCAATGGCTTCATTTCACAGATCCAACAAGCCACCTGATACTTGAGTCTCGTTCAGCCAGCTGGAGCTCAGCAGAAAGAGGAATTTCCCAAATGACAGCTGGTTTCTGGCCAGAGTTCCCACTGAGCACCTTTGGCTTCTCGTCTCTCTCCTGCTGCCCTCTTTCATTCCTCTCTTACAAACTGATCTCAGCTGATACCAAACGTTCCTTCTTCCTGAATTTTGAAGTGTCTCTCTGAAATCAAAGTGTTCCACCAAAATCTGGACAGTAAAGCAGCTGCAGCTGAAGACACTGAGCACGAAATCCAGCTGCTCTGAACACCGAGAGGCTCAAACAGAACAACTCTGTGTTTGTGGAGTCTGTGATAAACATGTATGCATGAAAAGATTATAAAACAACATAAGGACACGAGCCACTGACTTCCTGCTTCATAGTTTTGTTCTTTTACTCTGCCAGAGTAGCTCTGTGTGAATCACAGCCCAAAGCAATCTTTATATATCTCACACTGATTGGCTGCCTCTCGTAAACACAAAGCTCAAAGAGGAGCTGGTTGGGATCAGAGATGACCATATAAGGATTTCCATCCACATGACATCACAGACATTCACGACTGATGAGTTTATAAAACACTCGTTCCATAAAACCAATGAGAAATAATTAACAGGAAAACACAAAGAAATACAACCACAATTAACAGCATCATCATCATCATCCCCCCTGTGGATAATAAAGCATCATGTCAATACCCTCAGAGTTATTTATTATCTTTGAGGGAACAATTAGTAAAAAATAAACAGACTGATTGTGAAGGTTCTCAGTCATCCAGGTCATCGTAGTCAAAGGAGCTTGCAAAGAAAAGCGTCTGGACTTCTTTAAGTTACTTGAAGACGTTTCACCTCTCATCCGAGAAGCTTCTTCAGTTCTAAGGTCAAATGGTGGAGAGTCCCAGATATTACTCCCACTAGGTTTATATCTGGGACTCTCCACCATTTGACCTTAGAACTGAAGAAGCTTCTCGGATGAGAGGTGAAACGTCTTCAAGCAACTTAAAGAAGTCCAGACGCTTTTCTTTGCAAGCTCCTTTGAAAACAGACTGATTAATATAAAATATGCTTGGTGTTATAACCAGCTCTGAGCTTCAGTATTATGGGATGTATCATAACTGCACTAGTGTAACGTCGCTGAAGTAGAGGAACACACGTCGGTTGTCTTTGACTTCTTTTCTGATAAATCACTGCAGGAAACTTCAAAAAGTCCATTTTAGGTAAAACCTCGATCACCATGTCAGAGAGAGAGCTGCTTGAAGCAAGTCAGAACATAAAAAGCTCACGTTCTAGCTGTGAGTCATTTTCTAAAATACCAGCCTTCGGTGCTTGTTTGAGAACTTTTCCAGTCTGATAGAGTGAAGATTTTATCCTGCCAGCTGGGACCTGGGCCTGCTTCTGTCACCAGACTGTGAATGATGATGATCTTCGTATATAACGCCCGCCTTTCTATAGTACCAGGAAAATGACTGTGCAGAATCCGTCTGCTACATTACATTTAGAGGGATATCTTTGTCCTTATAATGTAATATTGATTTGTTTGCAGGTTTTAACAGAGCTTAAACGTGTTTTTCAGTTTCAGATTTCTATCTTCTGTGATTAACAAGTTATGAGGCTTTAAAGATGCCAAAAAATCATTTGAAAGCACCAAATTGAATCCACCTCAGGTACGCTGAGGCCTGAAGCTCTGAAAGTTTTTACAGTATGAAGATGAAATGCCTCAAGTTAATGTTTTATATATTATTGTGTTTATTTATTAAAGTTATATAAAGAATAATCCACAGATTCTGAAAGAGTCACCTGGGAAATATTTTCACATTTGGTTATTTTATATAAAAGAACCAAAAAGCATAATTATTTCTAAAAGCTGGAATATCTCTGTGGGCAGGAGCTCCGAGCACCGCAGCCAAATCCGGCCTCCCGGAGTCTCCCTGGATAAGCTTTCCCGCCCCCCCGCTCTTTGTGCTCTTATGTGCTGCTATTGGTTGGTACGATCCGTGACACAGGAGTACTGGTTATCACTGAAAACACTTGTACTGTGAAATTTATGACTATAAAATACTTTGTAAATGTTGCTAGAAAATTAGAAGATATAATATGGAATTCTGTGGAAAAAGAAAGTTTTTTTTTTTTCGATTTTAGGAACACTAAACCTAAAATATAAATTATTCAAATTTCTCTTTCCCAGGACTTTTTTCTCACAAATGAACCAAACAGTCATCAGTGCTGTAACGATGTTAACCCTTGGATAGCCGTCAAAATTTACACCCTTTTACATTCATCGGGACCCAAAAGGGTCCCTTTTTTGACTATGACCATCCGAGGGTTAAAGAGGCTCATTAGGAGATCATTTGGGGACGATTCTGCTCTTTTCCAGTCCCATAATTGAATTCTTCAACACCAGCAGCTGTGTGTGAGTCACAGCGTTAGCAAAAACAAAGACAGCTGAGAAGTCACTGAAGAAATCCTAACCGTGAACCCTTCCACCTTCAGGTTCACACCTATCTGTGGTGCTCTGACGACGCCTCTTCAGACTCTACTGTCGCACTAACACTGGCTCTAATAGGCTCTTAACAGCTGGCAGACAACAGCAGCTTCCCAGAGGGAGCCAAGGGGATGAAAAGAAGCACAGTAACAGTGCCAAGCTGAGCCGAGCCGAGCCAAAACTGTGCCGAGTCTCGGGGAAAAAAGCTGTGCTATGTGGTGAGTTTTAGTCATGCAGAGTGGCACCTAATCCTGCGGCTCCCTCTCCTAACAGCAGACAGGTTGTTGAGCTTTTTAAAGCCTGATATCTGTTGAATATTCCAAACAGAAACTGTCATTAAATTTAATACATGAGGTCTAATTAATCTTTGACTGCCATCTGGTTATTACTTTCTGCGCCACGCTGAATCTGAAATCTGTTTCTTTTTCACACACAGTCAGTATCAGCTCATCAGGGCCGCATTGTTCTGTTCACTTTAGCTCCGCTGCTCGTCGCGTCGAGGGTTTGCTTACACACGAGCTTCTCATTAACCGACACCGAGAACTGGACCATCCCAGAAGAGTTAAAGTGAGTTAAAGTGCCGCTGTTATTCTCATTAAAGGGGAAAATACTCTGATTCAATACAATGCAGTTGGTGTCTGTAATCCCTGCAGGCCAAAGCACTCCGGTTTCATAGTATTGGATCTGTATGATGTCATGAGGGGCCAATCAGAAAAATACTGTAACTGTCTTGTTATAGCAGTGGTATGGTTTCTAATCACTAATATGGCAGCAGTGGTTAGAGGGTTGGTGTGTACTGATACAGCAGCTTGGCCTTCAAGCCTGCTCACATCAAATGTTATATACAAAAACATGACATTGGTCCTTGTTGAGTTTTTAATGTCTCTTAGAATCATTAAGTTTCCTTTTTAGACTCCTCCAGGGCCGAAATTTTCCAAAATGAAAAATATGCACATATTGAACAAAATGATTTCCTGTTAGAGCTGGAGTACCATCTGGAAAACTCCAGAGCTGTGTTTGAATTGGATTAGACTATCTACTGGTGTTTTGTTTCTGTGGCACAACTTCTGATATTTCACATCCATTCATCCTCTTCCACTTATTCTTGTCAAGTTCATGGTGCTGGAGAATATTTGATATATGAATCTACGGTTTCAACGCAACCATTCTTTAGCTTTAGACAGTCGAGCTGGAGGCTCATGGTGATTTCAGATGGAATGCCTCAACATAAAACTGTTATCATTTTCCACAGGTGATTAGAGGAAGAAGCTAAAATCATCCAACATTCAGTTTGTTTCTGCCCTTAAATAACACTTACATGAAACTATTAATTAAATTTAGACTGACCAGTGGATAAAAACAAACTGAAACCACCGGCTTTTAGTTGGGTTCAGCTTCACTGTAAAGGCAGGCTTACAGAAAAAAAACAAATCGGGGATTTTCCCCAAATAATTGAAGATGGTGAAGAGCGAGGGTGAAACCAAAAGAGCTTGGAGACTTGGGGAAAGCTCCAAGGCAATATTGAGTTGGCTGTATTTCCACAAGATCAGGAAGAAACATTACCTGCCCAGTTATTAGTGCTGCCACTCAGCAGCTATTTGAGAAGTTATTTACAAGAACTTTTTTATTATATGAATGGAGAGGGAACCATCCATCCATGCACTTTCCGAACTGTTCATCCAGTTTAGGGTTGCTGGAGGGCTAGAGCCTCTCCCAGGTACCACAGGGCGGGAGGAGTTTTTGTACTTAACAAAACAAATTATCTACTAAAAATAAAAATACAGAAATTATAATAATAGTTATACATTCAGCATTTCTGACTTCTCACACCAGAGCACTGATAAAATTTCATGCTAATTCACAATATCATTATTGTAGGCCCTCAGAAGTATCAGGCAGTAATTCTTATGCAGACAGAGTGGAGGCCACTGGTTTGGTTTCAGTGTTTTACCAGGTTGAGGATGTAGTTGAGGCGTTTCAGCTCGCAGTCGATGATGATCTGGAAGTCCTTCTTGTAGTCGAGGTCAGCCAGCAGCTTGATGAAGGCTGGCTCTGTGAGACTGTCCAGGTTAACCGAGGTGACCTGCCAACTTCGTTCTGCCGCCGTGTCCAGGATCCTCTGCAGCACTGCCAAACCTGAGGGACAGCAAAGTAAGACGGGAGCCGCCTCAGCTGCATTTAGTCATAGACAAGATGACATGATTTAAATTTGGATAATCTAATTTTTTTAATAAAATCTGTATTCATTATAAGCTTTATTAAGCTTAACTTAACATCAGTGTCCAATAGCTATTTCACCTGACACAGTCCCAGTGACTGATCAGGTGGACTCAAGTAACCCCCATCATCATTTAAACTTCTTTAAACTGGATCTTGGTTACTTTCAGTTTACCATTTACTTTGATCAGTTTATCAGCTTACCAACAATCAGCTATGGTCAGCAATTGTATCTAATCATTCATCTATAACAGCTGGCTTATTAATCCAACCATGAAGCCACTGTTTTTAGCTTCTACTTCCTTTAACAGCTATTCACTGTTACACGACCAACATTAAAACTAGAACGGACACAGGAAGTCATTCTGAGTTGATCCTGTTTAACTGACAGCTTTTCATCATTTAATATTGTTTGTACCTAACAGATTTATTTTGGGATTTTTTTCATGCCCATCTGTGCTTCATCACTTTCACTTGCTAAGCTATATTTTAAGTTTCAGAATAACCATTTTGCGCTGCTAAATATTCCAGTAAGAATAAGTCATTTTTATTTCAGCTCTATATTATACTTTATCAAATAGATTTGGTTATCTGCAACGTTAACTAAAATTATTACTTACCGGTACTGCAATATTTTTAGCCAATGGTTTCCAATATTTTATTCCTAATTATAGAAGCTCCTTGAACTGTTCCTGTATTATAACATTTTTAGCTGTTTTAACTATTTTGTTTCTCAGCTATCTAAGCTACGTAGCAATCCAACCATTGTTCAGCACAGCGGGAGGGGGGGGGGGGGGGGGGGGGGGGGGTATAATTTCTCCTACTCCATGACTTTTAACTAACTTAACTTTTCTGCTAAACCTGTTCAGGTTCATTAACTTAGTGAAAGTTTCAGTGTTTCTCAGATTGGTTAGGCTAATCTTTTGCATGCTCCGTGACTACTGTACAAGTGACTCTTGGGCTATTTACTGCCAATTGGGAATCACCAAATCCGGGGTTTTCACAAGGCAGAAATTGTTTTGACCATCAAACTGATTTTCAGCTTCACAACTTGCAGACCTGCAACCTGAAAAGTAGACGAGTAACAGACGTTTGAGGTAGTGATTAAGATCAGCGGACTCATTGAAAACTGTCTCTGACTTTTACAACTTTAAGTCAGAGCAAGACAATAAAACTTATTTTTCATTAGCACATTGTATGTCGTAATTATGACTAAGAAGTTTTTTTACTTTTTTTTGAGAGCCAGGTCTCAAAAACAAAACTTATAATGAGAAATATTATGAGAAAAGCTTGAGTGAGTGGGAGATATAATCGCTGAGTCACTTGTTTGAAATGTTATCAGCTCATTGAATGAGCCTCATTATTTGTTATCTATCCCATATGTTTAGCTGCTGGTAGGCAGTTATCACTGAATTACAACGGTGACCCAGCTAAAAGGAAGTACAGAGTGTTTCCAGATTCAGACTGCATCAAAAGTCCACATTAACTCGAATCTCAATCAAGTATGATTATTCTGAAGAGGATTTGTTGAGTATGTTTTCATGTTGATATGAGATACAGTGTTTATGACCTTCAGAATAATTGTCCTACGTTGAATACAATATATTTGTGTAAACCTGCAGCAGTCCAACAGTTTACCCGGAGAGTCTGACTCTGAAACTCATCCCAGCTGTATTATAGAGTGACCTTTCTCTTTACTTAGAAATGATCTCTGCTTCCTTTGATCTTTGTTGGCAGATATCTTTTCTCCAGCTCTTGTTGCCATTTGTCAGCCTGACGGATTACTTTTCAAAGACACTTTACTCCAAACTGCCGAATGAATGCAGAGATATGTTTTCATGTCAGCTGCTGAGGACTGGATTTGAAGAGGCAGTGGCTCCTCTGACTGAATGTCAAACTGTTTTGTAGTTTTGTTTTGTTTTTTTTGTTTTTTTTGGGGGGGGGTGGTTAGCGGAATCAGCCTCATATGATCTCTGCTGTAGGGCTGCCACAAATGATTATTTTGATAGTCGACTAATCAGATCATCATCCATACAGCTTATTGCACCAGCAGCATCTGCTCTTATATAACTATCATTAGCTTACAGCTTTAAGTGTTT